ATCATTTTTTTATTTTTTTATTTTTTTTAATTTTTTACATTGTAGACTGGGGTGCCTCAAGATTTTGCATACTTTTTAAAAGGTGCCATGACAGAGAAAAGATTGAGGAATGCTCTACTAGTGTATAGACAGCTTAACATATAATAAACATCCAGCACAGAGTCTCCCTGGTGGTGTATGTGGGTAGAGCTGTGAACTCGGGGGGCAGAAATATCTCCACCTAGCTTTCTTAAGGTGCCCATACACTGCTCGATTCTCGTACGAGAATCGCGGGAAATCCCGCGATCGTACGAGAATCGAGCAGTGTGAACGGAGACATGCGACCGTTTCTACTGTACGGTCGCACGTCTTCCGTCGAACCAGCATGTTCGAAAACCAGCCGGGAATCGTACGATTCTCGGCTGGTTAGAACGGTGCTCAGAAGACAAATGCCGAATGGGCCGGTGTGCGCACGCGCACACTGCCCGTTCAGCATTGCGGTCATCGGAAGCCCGCCCCTCAGGGGGGCAGGCTTTTGCGATGATCGAGAGTGCGATCTGCCTGTCCAAGATAGGCAGATCGTACGTTTTTTAAATCCCTGTACAACCATCGCAAGACTAAGGTCTTGCGATGGTTGTAGAGTGTATGGCCACCTTAACAGAAGCCGAAAGCGTGTGATTGAATCAACCCAGCCGTGTCCAATCATAATATCACCTATAGGTGTGCTCACGATTCTAAAGTATAGCTGGACCGACACCTAACCATCTTGTTTCTTCTATTACAGCTGGACATTTGGTCGAAGTCCAACTATCAGGTATTCCAAAAGGTAAGATCAACATCATTTCCTAACATACAGCAGATGCAGCATTGTATGTAGTGTGATATTTGGGGAATTTAGCACAAATGAAGCCACGTTAGCATAGAACAAAACAGTCTTTTATTGCTTCAGTAACAGAAAAATAGCTTTCTTCAGCCGTACCACAAGTATGTTTGTATTTCAGAAAACATATCATCTCACCATTCTCAGGTTATCCTGTTCAGTGTCCCAGTCCCAGGACCTTACTGTTTCCTCAACAGAATCTCTTTGGGAATACTCCGTACCCTTTGAGCAGCTTTCAGCAGCCTTTGATTTCACACCCACACACCTTGGGTGCCTGGCTCCCTCATCCTCTCCAAGCCTTCCAGCCCCCCAGGCTGTTCCTCGTGTGCCTCCAGCACACACACAACCACCTGGCTCCACTTCTCAGCAGGAGCCCTCATGTGCCTTCAGCCCACACCACACCAACTCCTCCATTGAGCTCTGGTCTGGGCTCTTAATAAGGCTGCTCTCAGCCGCCTGATCACTGGCAACACCTGACCTCAGGACTGGAGATTTCATCCCACCCTGAACTCTTAGAAATCTCCAGAGATCCAGATCCCAGCTACAATCCGGAAAAGATGGAAGAAACTGAAAGGCCGGCTTCTTCCCTGCAAATCTATTAATATTCTGGAACCTCTCAGCCTCTCTGACTGAGAGTTCTGGGTGTCTGTGTCGCCAGCTTACTCCGTGGCAATGCCACGCACTGCCACAGTAGTTATCGTGCCTACAGAAGGTCTCTTATTGCTCTGATCTTCTAATGTACAACCATCACAACCTGCCCAAGAACATCATTGCTTGCCCTTGCTGCTCCGCAGAGACCTGTCCAAATAATTACAGCAACATTTGCTTTGCTATGTCAGGTAGCGCTAAGACAAACACTGTAGAATTAAGCGAAATAATCCTCTGTCGATGCAACTTTGATTTTGTTAATTAAAGTGCTAGAGATAGCTATTTAGCTGTTGAACTTTTTCTTTGGCATGCCTTCTTATTTCTAGCTTTCATCAGATGATTTGCTTAGTTACACTTTATGCCTATGTTTTTGTTTTTTTTTTAAATTTGGTGCAAGGGTGCAGGCTGTCACTACACTGCACTACACTTCGGAACCCACCTCCCCGTAGCATTAATACAATAGTTAGCTTTTATATGCATGGCCTAAACTTTTTTTTATTCCCAAAAGGAGAAAAAAAAACTTTGTTGCTGTAACGTATTCAGGGGCGTAACTAGAAATCACAGGGCCCCATAGCAAAATTTTGTATGGGGCCCCGTGATTGCTAGTTATGCCACTTGCAGAGATCCAGCGGAGAGTGACCCTGCAGAGCCCATCATAGACTCTCTATAGTGGGCTCTGCAGAGGCTCAGATCTCTTACCTGTCAGCACCTCTGTGGTCGCTGGGCCCCGACTCCTGTTCCGTCCCCGGGCCCCGCCTCCTCTGCTATCGACGGGCCCTGCCTTTTCTTACATCACTGGCCCCACCTGCTCTTAGGTCGCTGGCCAGTGATGTAAGAGGAGGCGGGCCCCGCCTCCTCCATTCCGAACACCACCCTCATCTGCCGCAGCGGCTGGCTGTCTCTGACACAGCTCCGCAGCGGCTATGAGGGGAAATGCGCAGTGGCCGCTGCTGAGCTGTGTCTGTGACAGCCAGCACCCCCACATGCCATGGCGGCCCTGGCCGGCCCCCCCTGTGCCCGGCCCAATAGCGACCACCTGGGTCGCTATGGCGATTGTTACGCCACTGAACGTATTACAACCTGTTGGAATTGGGCTTTCATTTATTTGGCTTACCTAAAGCAGAATTAAAGTCCCAAGTACCTCTCCTCCAGAGTCTACAAGCTGCCATGCCAGCTCCAGCTTCTTTACCTGGTTGTTTTTTGTGTTTAGCATCTTTGGGCACCTTGATTGGCTAGCCGATGGTAGGGTGAATCCCACACATGGGAGTTTGTTCATCCCGGCACTAAGGCATTATTATTATACAGGATTTATATAGCGCCAGCAGTTTCCGCAGTACTTTATAATATAACGAAGACATGACAATCACAATACAATTCAAGACAAGTTGGTAAGGAGGGCCCTGCCCGTAAGAGCATACAATCTAAAAGGGAGGGGGAAGTGATACATAAGGAGGTAGCTGTGTGGGGATGAATTGTTTGAGAAAGTGATATTTCAGTGGTTAGGTTGAGGTGGGATAGGCTTCCCTGAAGAGATGTGTCTTAAGGGATCGCCTAAATGCAGTCACAGTGGGAGATGGACAGGTTGGGGTAAAAAGTTTTACAGAATGGGGGAGACTCTAGAGAAGTCCTGGAGGCGAGCATGGGAGGAGTTGACAAGGGAGCTAGAGAGCATGAGGTCTTGGGAGGAGCGTAGGGGACGGTTAGCGTGATACTTTGAGACAAGGTTGGAGATGTAACCTGAGGCTGAGTTGTGAATGGCTTTGTAAGGCATGCAGAGAATGTACACTGAGCTTCACATGCACAACTCAGTATGCATTCTAAAGACGTTTGCTAACAGGAAGGTAAGAAGCTTTTATTGCAGAAAAAAAACAACCTTCCTGCTTCCAAATGTCTGTTTTGCTGGGTAAATTTCCACGTTGCACTTAAAACTATACGTTCATCCACCGGGTGACAACGCTACTGTGCATTTTCACTGCAAAATGAACAGTTTTGTCACCCTATTACAGAAATATAGAAAATAACATCTACTGCCCGGATCAACAGGTAATACATTTATGTTTTGGAAAGGGGGCTCGGAAAAAAAACTGTTGCGACGGACTGCATGATATATGCCATTGTTTGTATGTCACCTGTAGTTCAACTTTAACCTCTGCACAATGGCCAGTGTTGGAAGGGTTCATTTTGAAAACCTGTGACAGTTCAGTAGCTTCCTTTTCTATGTAAAAATGGTCTCTACAGAACTTATGCTCAAAGGTTGATCAAGTTGAGGAGAAAAATCATGGAGTTAATCTGAGAGAGATTAGTTTGTATAAAAGGAATATGTAAGCAGTACCTTAATCGGGCCGATTTATTACCAAGAACACATGACAGTTGCCAAACCCTAAGGATCCACCACTACAATGTCCCTGGCTTGGATGACATACGGATGGGGTATACTTTTGTAGAAAGGTTTTATCCCTCTCAGCACAAAATGAGTGACCAGATATTTCCCAGCATGATAGAATATCTGAAATAAATAATGCCTTTGGTAATCAGAAGCGCTTATTACCATACCTGTGCAGCCAATACCAGAAAACCATCTGAGGCCCTCAGGGTAATTCACAAAAGGGTGAAGAGTTTGGAGGAGGCAGGAGAAGTGAACAATCTAGGACAACATAGCTGAACTGGAAAGTGAGCTGAATTGGAGAATTTTTCCAAATCTGCTATTTTGGCCTAGATTGTTCACTTCTCCTGACTCCTCCAAACTCTTCATCCTTTAGTGAATAACCCTGCCTGTGTCAGGCTCTATGTAGCTAGCTTTAATGAGTCTAATTTTTGAACTGTCCTGAGAAACATTTCCATCATGAACTCCAACTTCATCTATCTGTCTGTCTCCATTCGGGGGAAATAATCCATAGGATGCTTTACTTTCATGCATGGTTTAGTATCGGAGCCTAACCCACTTATTCACTTACCGCAAAGTTCTCTTTTAAGTTATGTCCATTGTAAGTGATTTTCCCCATAGTTCTCTTTAGGGAGACTGGAGGACGTATACTAACCTTCTCCCGTGACCCAAAGCTCAGGTAATTGTGGGCAATTGCAGCCATATTGAGTGGGGCAACTCAGATTAATAACGTGCTGGATTAGTCTGACCTTAGTTAATTTTAATACTTTATTGCTGTGTAGTATGTGTATAGGGAAATGCGACGGGTGGCGCACGTGCAGTAGAGCCTTCTCGGCCAAACCTCTTCTAACTAAACCGGAAGTCAGGTCGTTGGGGATCTCGACGAGTTGGAACTTTCGATAGAACATACAGAGAGCACAGCAGCCTGGACGGATCCTGACAATACTGTAGAGATCCACCCAGCTGCTTGAGTGACAGCTGGCTCTGCCTATCTAGAGACAGAGAAAGCTGTGCCCGCCCCCGTTTGTTCCTCCACTCAGCACTGGAGGAGAGGGGAGTGGGGAATCCCTGCGGGGAGCGTTGACTGACAGTCACTGCTCACTACAGGTAGACGATCGGGAAGTGAGCGGATCAGTGCATGTTTCTGCTCACTTCCTGATCTATAGAGCCGACCTGTGACAGCTTCTAACTAAGAGGATGAGTGGAAATCACCTCACAGTTCTCCTTTAACAGTTCTGCTTGAATAAACTTCTGAAATGTCACAATATACTGCTGTATAATTCCCTCCTATTCAATACTTTTTCCTAAAAAGCAGTTCTTCAGTTGCAGTCAAGTGACTGAGCCTAGGCCTAAGAGAATGATCAGTGTCATCAATATGCTGCAGGCAGGCTGAAGAATTTTCCTTAGTCTCCCTCCACCCGGTGATCACTCTGAGACTATTGTAACATTGTAAGTTTCTGGCAGAGTGAGTGAGTGTAAGGCCCCATTCACACGTAGCGACATACCTTTTGCAGCGGCCGGGATAGCGCGACTTTCGGGGCGACGTTCCAGCGACAATCGTTCTCCGTCGGGCTCCATTAGAAAAAAGCAAAATTGCGCAAAATCCGCCGAAAAAAGGGTCCTGTAGAAGCGACTTGCGACCGCGACGCGCAACATGGAGCTAAGACAGCTCCATTGAATATCATTAGCCGGCGACTTCTCGCGATATCGCGCGGCAAAAATGTGCGATAAATCGCTACGTGTGAATGGGGCCTTAAACAATTACAAAGAATGTAAAGACTACTTCAGGCACTAGGATTTACAAAGGACAGCACCCTAATCTAGGAATTAGATCCTAACCCTGAATGTTGCCTTAAAAAGGTGCTGGCATTCTGGGGACAAAGGAAGATGATGCAATCCTACCTGTGATGATGTA